GAACAGACGCAACCTCACTCACAAGTTGGAAGCTGGGATTTTGGTGAAGTCCCTTTGCCATTTCCACGAAAAAACAAACCAAACCAAACCAAATATAGAAAACATTCACCATACCAAAAACCAAATATAGCAAGCATTCACAATACCAAAAACCAAATAAACAAAGCATTCACCAAACCAAAAAACCAAACCAAAAACCAAATATTAAAACCATTCACCAAACCAAACCAAAAACCAAATATAAAAAGCATTCACCAAACCAAAAACCAAATATAAAAACCAAAAATAATAAGCATTCACCGAACCAAATAAAAACGGTTGTCCATCATCCTGAGAAAGAAAAACATAACTGTTGTCCATCATCTTGAAAACTAAAACGAAAATCAGGTTGTTTTGGGCTCGTTGACTGGGTTTCCTTGTGCTCTTCTCTTTCCTTCTTCCTCTTTTCATGGGTTGTCTTGTACTCTTCCACTGCAGCTTCAACTTGAGGTGCAACTCTTCTTGCTTCCGTGAGCACCATATGCCTTATGTAGTTCATGGGCTCTCGAACAAGGTACAAAGCAATCTGCATCCTCCTCACTTGAGTGCATGGCTATCAACATCAACAAACATGGTGCTTACCGCATGATTCAAAAATAACAATGAATTGTGGTTTTCTAATTTTGCGAATTAGAATTGTCTTTACCCAATATAAGAGGAGTCCCAGCTTGCGCCAAACATCCACATGCCACACCCAGACTCCACTGTCAGACCTACATAAAATAAAAGCATTGCGTGATAAGAACCAAGTTGATAAGACGTCGTTTAATATCACAAAAAATGGGCATACTTACCGATTAAGTTGTTCTTGATCCTTTGAAGGAGTTGGGTACGCAAACTCCGCAATCCTTGGTGGCGACAATCCTTGTTCACGACAGAGAATCTTCCAGAAGGCTTGCATAAAGCTCATCTGTACAAATTAAGAAACGTTTGTAACTTAGAAAGAGTTATTTACATTTTTTGCGTTATAACGGCACAATGTCACAAATTTACCATTGTTTGAACAGATTGTAGTCGAAAGGAATTGCGGACTTCATTTGGTTGTGGATCCAAGATATGGACTTCTTCCTTGTCCAACTTGATGACAGCCAAGTACCAATGGGCATTATCTCTCATCGGAACACACACCTACATATGCGGAAATGTCAACACGTATTAAAAAAAATAAACTGCAAACCATGTAATACTTATAAGACGAACAGTTTACCTTGTTCACCATATTGGTTCGACTAAGGAATTTTGATTGGTATAGGTTCCTAATGCCATCTTGGGTGTTATTCCACATGAAATCACTAGTTCCTGCCCATGTGGTAGTTGCACAATTGAAATTTGTCAACACAATATGATTCACATTAAAAAAACATGTGTTGTAATTTTTTTGGTGAGAGGAAATTGTCATTAAGTATAATCGGACCACAACCTGTAGTTCAGCAGGCAGATAGCACACTCCTTTTCCGTCCTTGGAATTTGTCCACAACTCTTCTAGAGTCAAGTGGCAGGCCATCGCTGTTATAACCTAATATAACATGGACAAAAAACACTTCATGATACTATCGAGTTGTTATAAAATAATTCTACGTAGAAAGCATTGATAGTGGACAAACAAAACAAAATTTTGGAGTTCCGTTGATTACATCAGCATCTACGAACGAGCGAGGGCTTAAGGACCACAATGACTTCCTCGTACAGGAGTTGTTGGAGGTTTTGACCAATACTTCGTCAGGTGGCAGATGGGCTAAGAATATATAGTGAGCAAGCTGGATTTGCTCATCATCGTATTCCATAGCGGTAGGTAGCTTAAACTTCAAAACAACCTGGAATAGGGGCCACAAATAAACACGAGTTGAAATGCATTCGTTATGACGGAATAACGGCAATGAACACTTCAATGGCAAACATGACACCTTTATTACCTTGTCAACCGAAGGTAGACAAATACTTTTTCCATTTGGCTTCTTTGGTGTGACCTCAGAGTCAGATTCATCGTCCGAAATAAAAACGATGACTGAAGCAGGAGTGGGTGGAGTGCTGACACCTTTGGGTATCCTTGGTTTCTTTGTTGGAGTCAAAATTCGGCTGTCTCCTACAATGACAGTGAACCTGCGATTAATAAATTAACTAGAATGAATTTCAATGGTAAAAAGAGCTATTATACATACCACAAGCTTGGACGAAGAGCGAGTAAGTCTCCTATTTTCCATGTTGTGCCTCTGATCTAAGCTTTACTCTGTACTCAAAATCGCGGCAAAGAAGGATATGGAACCACTGCTCTACCGATGAAGGTTAATTATATATACAAGGTTAGGATAAATTTTGGCGCCATATTTTTCCCGCGGAAAAATAGTTAGGGTTTAGTCTAAGGTAAATGAACTTGGGATAAACATGGGTAGTTATTAAACCTAAAAGTAAAAAGATACTTTTTCGATTGAATAAAGAATTGAGTGCTATTAGTAAATATTCGCTCATATTAATATTTGATCCTTCCCCATACAACTTGAGGACACCTAGAGTCAGCTGGCGTTTGGCTTTACTACGAAAGGTTTTTCATTTTAAATATTTTCGTTATTTGTGAAAATGGTAAAGAAATCACTAAGATAAAGAAGAAAGTTCAACTCGTTCCTACCAAAAATATAAGATATCACAAATCGTGTTATTAATGGGGATAATTATTAAGTGGCCCATTGAATCATTAATTCGGCCATCATTCCCAGTAGGGTTTTGTAATCTACGTCCTTGGTTCCCCAAAATTTCCAGCCGTGACAATGACGTCGGAGGCAGACTCACCATTGACGTCGGAGGGAGTCCTAGTATTGACGTCGGAGGGAGTCCAAGAAAACGCTGGTGCCGGAACCAGTCACACCACCCAGGAAGATAATGTCGCCGATCTCATATTGCTACAGCCTGAAGATATTAAAAAAATGAAGTTCGATGATACAGAAGAAGCCTATGATTTCTACATGGACTACGGGTTAGTCAAAGGCTTCGACATCAGAAAATCAGACATTGGTCGTGATAAGAACAAAGTTATGATATGGCGTGACTATGTATGCTCTGGCGAGGGAAAGAGGCGCGTGAAGAGCACAGAACGAAAGAGAGAAGCAAGAGGGGAGACCAGATTTAACTGCAGAGCCAAGATGCGTGTTAAACAACACAATGTCGATGGGAAGTGGTATGTGCACCAGTTTGATGATGTACACACACATGAAACGATCCCCAGAGAATATAGACACTACATGAAAGGGAAACGTCGTATGAGTGATGCAGTGAAAGCAGCGATAAATTTTAGAAGAGCTGCAGGTATGAAAACTTCTCAAATTGTGAATCTGGCCGTATCAGAAGCAGGAGGCTACGACAATTTGGGGTACACGAGGAAGGATGCATATAATTATGTGGACAAAGAGAGGAAAGAACAAATCAGTGAAGGTGATGCCGCAACAGCCCTAGCCTACCTGCAAGCTAAATGCAGCGCGAGAGCATTTCGTTATTGAACTAAAGAAGGATGACGACGACCGGCTTATTAACATTTTCTGGGCCGATAGTATTTCTGTTGCTGATTATGCATGCTTTGGAGAATTACTGTCATTCGATGCTACTTACAAAAGGAACATTTACCAGATGCCTCTCGTGATTTTTTCAGGTACTTTTCCTTGACACATAGAATTATCCCGAGCATGCTAAAATAACCCTAGAAGTTTGCATAATCTAACTTTGTTTGAACTTTTTTAGGTGTCAACCACCATTCGCAAACTTGCGTATTTGCATGTGCTTTCTTGGCTAACGAGAGAGAGGACAATTATATTTGGGTGTTGGGAGCTTTGAAGAGAAGGCTAGGCGGTGTAGATCCCAAGACTGTTATTACAGATGGGGATAGAGCAATGCGTAATGCTATTCAGAAAGTATTTCCCGATGCAACACATCGTCTATGTTCCTGGCATATAGACAAGACTATAACCAGAAATGTGAAGAATCATCCTACTTTTTTGCCCCAATGGAAGCATTTTGTGTCAGCTGACTGGGAACCTTCAGAATTCGAAGAAAAGTGGAAAACAGTGGTTGAGGAATGCTCCCTTCAGCACAACAATTGGGTCTCCAATTTATTTGACCAAAGACATGAATGGGGGTATGCATATTTGCGTTCGAACTTCTTTGCAGGCTTGAGTACAACATCAAGATGTGAAGGACTGAACTCTCAACTTGCCAATTATATCGAGAAGGATAAAAATCTCCTTGAGTTCTTTATTCACTTTGATCGTTGGACTAGGGATATGAGGGAGAATGAGCGTCATGCTGATTTTGAATCCATTCATCGAGAACGAACCATCACAAGCAATGTCTTAGTCTCACTTCAGAAGAGTGGAGCGGCGGTTTTCACAAAGAACGCATTCTTCTTATTCAGAGACGAGGTTGAAAAGTCGGCATGTTGCATAAGGTTGGAGACAGAGCGATCGGAAATTGAGCATGTGTACAAGGTCAAGGTGTCTGGCATGGCTAAGGTTTTTCAAGTCACGTACGCAGTTGAACCCTTTGCAATGGAATGTAGTTGTAATCACTACAATTATATGGGAATACCATGTCGTCATATGATTTTTGTACTGAAAGAAGAGAGCATACTGGAACTTCCTGAAGGCCTAGTACGTCGAAGATGGTCAAAGAAGCCGAAGACACTAGAGAGCTTGGAGGAACCGGGCAGACTAGATGAATCGCAACTTTTCGCATTGAGGTTTGCCATGACTATCACTTTTAATTTTTTTTTTTTAGTATTGGTTCGAAGCTAGGTGAACATTAATTTTACTCACTTTGTATAAAATCTTGTGTCAATCAGGTATGGTACTATTCAACAACACAGCTTACAACTAATGTTAAAAGGGGCAAAATCTAGTGAGTGCTTCAAGATTGCTCGTGAGGGAATTCAATCATTATGTGAAAAGTTGGACATGGTGGACACTGGCAACGTGGACATACCCGGCATTAATAGGCCGAAGGCGAATGAAATTTTGTTGGATCCATTACAAGTCAAAGCTAAAGGTTCGGGGGCTAAAAAATCTAAAAGGAAGAAAGGAGAACCACGACAGTGTAGCAATTGCGGTGAATTTGGCCACTATAGGACCCGATGCCCACATCCTGTTGGCTATGTGAAGCCAACCTCAAACGGTGATGCCCCGAATGATGGTGTTTCGGAAGAAGGTGGCGGTGGCGATGACACCGATGTTGATCCTCCCAGCACTCAAGATCAGTCGGAAACAGTACAGAAGAGAAGGCAAAAGCATTGCAGTAAGTGCGGTTCTACCAAGCATAATGCAAGAACGTGTACTGGGTCTGGGCCATCCGATGATGAAAATGACGATGATGAAAATGACGATGACGACGATTATGAGCAACCTAGGGTAAGAATAAGATATAATTGTTCGTGTCTACACAATGCAGTTGCACCCAATAATTTTGTACGTCTAAAATCGTCGTTATCGATTTTGCAGAAGAGGCCTGTTACAAGAAGTAGCAAACTAAGGATTGTTGAAAACTTGGAGTGAAGATGGACGTCCTTATCCTATTCGGATTAGGACTAATGGACTATGTGAAGACTGCCAGTATCAGCTTGAAGCGGCGTCGTTTGATTTATAAGAAGACTGTTGCCGTCTGCGGTGTCGTTTTACTTGTGTGTCGTTTTATTTATGTGTCTCTTTGGTCTATAAGAAGACTACTGCCTGCTACGGTGTCGTTTTATTTAGTTCGGATGGATTTGATTGAAGTCGATATGGAGGTTGCTCCCTAAATAAATCATGTGCAACATTTCAGTTGAATTATTTTTCTCACTCGTTTTTTTTATTGAATTATTAGATCGGATTTTGGCTACTAAAATTATGAAATGTAATTTGGGCGTGAAATGACAAGAGCATTCGCCGACAGAGGACTTCTGAAAATGGAGGCAGTAATCAAGAAAAAACTACAATATTTTTATTGAGTGAAAGATCCCTCACCGATATATTATTAAGATCTCAAACACTAAAAGTACAAATCTTGAAAAAGAAAACAATGTACTTTCCCTCCTCCAACTTTTATACTATACATATGGCAACTTTCCCCTCTTGTATATATTTTGGGAGCATGATCAACAAGTACACGTAAATGTAGCCCAGAAGAACCATCACATGACGTAGGGTTCCACAACACCTATTATGGAATCGCAACAACATGTGATGATTCTTTGGGCTATATTCAGACGGCGACTTATTGTCATTGCTCCCCTCCCTGCCTCTAACAAAGACCCTGCATGGAGAGCAAAGGAGAAACAATACAACGAAGGATTTAGTTTAACAGTCATGATCTAACAATGACATAATTAAAGGAACTGAGATCTAAAATAATACGCAGTCTCATCATTACCACTGCACCCGAAAATAAAGCATGGACAGGAGGACGAAGAGGCGGATGGGGTTGATTTTCGGGGTTGAGAAGATGGGAGAAAGGGGTTGATTTTCGGGGTAGAGAAGATGGGAGAAAGGGGTCTTTTCAGGGATTGAGAGGAGGAACGGACAACAGCAGGAGATGAGTGCCTCTTGGGTTTCGGAGCATGGTCTCTCCCTCTCTGATTAAAGAATTTATAAATGAGCTCATAAATTTACTTTGCCTTTCCAGCCCTTCCCATTTACTGAAAATCACACTCCCTACCGCTGCCTCGGCCTTGGTAACGTCAGCACTGGTTAGGGGCAAATGCGAATTTCCGAAAACGGCGATATCTGATTGGGTGACACGCCGCGGTTAGGATTGAAGCTCTCTCACCATCGGATTAAACGAAAATTTAGGAATTGACGGCGGGAGATGGGGATGTGCTTTTAGACTGGCTTTGTAGATTAACTAACTTTTTCGTTTACCAAAATTAATCTACAGATTTGGTACATGTACTTGTAACCCTAAACCCTAAACCCTAAACCAAACCCTAATACACGAACCAATCAATACCATATACTCTACAACAATAACACCTTAGAGCAACTCCATCCCATTGCTAAACCAACCTTTAGCAATTGGCAAAGTCTAGGTGGCAACTCAATTGGCAATTGCAAGGGATGGAGAGGCAATTGCTTATTTAGAAATTACAAAGAAAACTTAGGGATGTAGGTGGTTTGCAATTCTTTTAACTGAAATTGCTAAATATGATGATGTGGCTGTAGGGACCACGTTTAGAAATTGCTAGGGATGGAGATGGTCTTACCCGAACCAATCCAACCCATTGCTTATTTAGTGGAATCCTAGGTGGCACCATTATTTAGCAAGATTGCAATGCCACCTAGGAAATTTTTTATAAACTAGCAAGATTGCTAAATTAGGAATTCTTCTTGCAATGCCAAACCCTAATACACGAACCAATCAATAACATATACACTAAACATCAACACCTTGCTTATTTAGACCATCTCCAATGGTGCAATTCTTGAGAATTGCAAGCTGATGTGGCAAGGGAGTGAAAGTGGGACGGTGAGTTGCATTGATGTGGGATCAATTACAAAAGTTGCAAATTTGCATCTGATGAATGTTTTCATGCAGTTGCAAATTTTCATGCAGCACACACATATATACAATTTCAATCATAATACTTTACATAATTCGAATAACACAACGACAAAAAACAACTTGAGAGATGCACTCAAATTAATATAATACACTCACCAATTAATATTGAATTGCATTGAAAATTAAGTAGGACCCACGGTCACAATTGATGTATAGTTAAAGTTGCTGAAGTGGCAATTGGGACCATATATTTGCTCGGTGTTGGAAACTTGAACTGAAACTGGAAGTCCTCCTATGCCGAGTCGTTTGGTATATAAGAAGACTGTTGGCTCTTGCGGTGTCGTTTAATTTATGCACTCATTAATGGTCACTTGATGGCAATTTTTAAGCACTTGGATGTGGAAATTTGCAGTAATTGGACCCAATTACCACATAATGCAGTAATTGGGTTAAAAACCCACGTTTGGGAGAGCCAAAATAGTATGGAAATTGGACCATGGAAATTGGCTTCAATTACCACATTCATGGTAATTGAGAATACTACACCTCCCCCTAGTAATTTGACATTACCACGTTTTCTTACTTCTTTTTCCGAATTCCATACCATCAATTCTCACAAAACTAAACCTTATCCAAACGTGAGTTTTTTTTTTCAATTTCCACAAGTCAATTCCTTGGTTTTGTAAAACATGGAAATTCAGACAAATTTCAACGTTTTAAAATTTCCACATCCAAACGACCCTATAAATCATGTGCAACATTTCAGTTGAATAATCTTGAGAACTAGTTTTTTTTATTCAATTATTACATCGTATTTTTTGCACTAATTTTGAGCACTCATTAAATGGGTAGAGCATGTGGCGACAGAGGAGCAGAGTTCGAAATCCGGCAAAAAATCCGGTTGGGCCAATCGTAAAGACTTCTAAAAATGGATCAGTAGTAAACAAATAAAGTACAGTATTTTATTGGGAGTGTAGGATCCCTGCAGATTTTAGAAGATCTCAAACGCTAATAGTACAAAGTACAGTATTTTTATTGGGAGTGTAGGATCCCCTGCAGATTTAGAAGATCTCAAACGCTAATAGTACAAAGTACAGTATTTTTATTGGGAGTGGAGGATCCCTCCCGTATTTAGAAGATCTCAAACACTTTTGGAAGCCGCCATGGAAGCGAAGAGAGAAGCAGAAGAAAAAATAACAAAACAGTATACAAATATAAACAAATGTTACATAGAGTCCAACAAAAACAAAAAGCTGTACTTTCCCTCCCTATTTTATCCTATTATACATATGGCAACTATCCTATCTTGTATACATTTTGGGAGCATGATCAACAAGTACGCGTCAATATGGCGCAAAAGAAACACCACATGACGTAGGGTTCCACAACACCTATTATGGAATCGCAACAACATGTGATGATTCTTTTGGCTATATTCAGACGGCGACTTATTGTCATTGCTCCCCTCCCTGCCTCTAACAAAGACCCTGCATGGAGAGAAAAGGAGAAACAATACAACGAAGGATTTAGTTTAACAGTCATGATCTAACAATGACATAATTAAAGGAAATGAGATCTAAAATAATACGCAGTCTCATCATTACCACTGCACCCGAAAATAAAGCATGGGATAGGAGGACGAAGAGGCGGATGGGGTTGATTTTCGGAGTTTCATATTGAGAAGATGGAAGAAAGGGTTCTTTTCAGGGATCGGAGCACGGTCTCTCCTTCACTGATTAACGAATTTATAGATTGACTCGTAATTACTTTTACTTTCCCTCCCTTCACATTTACTGAAAATTACAGTCCCTACCACTGCCTCAGCCTTGGTAACGCCAGCATTGGTTATGGGCAAAAGCGACTTTCCGAATTCGGCAATATCTGATTGGGTGACACGCCGCGGTTAGGATTGAAGCTCTTTCACCATCGGATTAAACGAAAATTTAGGAATTGACGGCGGGAGATGGGGATGTGCTTTTAGACTGGCTTTGTAGATTAACTAACTTTTTCGTTTACCAAAATTAATCTACAGATTTGGTACATGTACTTGTAACCCTAAACCCTAAACCCTAAACCCTAAACCAAACCCTAATACACGAACCAATCAATACCATATACTCTACAACAATAACAACACCTTATAGGCTTATACCGTAACCAATCAATAACATATATACTTTAAACCATCAACACCTTGCTACTCCCTTATACCATAACCTTCAAGACCTTATACTGTATACCAACAACACCTTCTTCTATCTCCATCCCCAACTTTCATTTTATAATAAGTGTTTCCTTTGAAATATAAAATGGAACCCACCTTGGCAATTACTAGCATAATTTACTCTAAACCATCAACACCTTATACAATATCGTATTTTAGGGATGGAGATGATCAATACACTAACCCAATACCATGTACTCTAAACCATCAACACCTTATACAATATCGTATACCTATACGCTGATAAATTAAAATTATAACTTGCTTTTCAAAACATAAATTAAAAATTGATACTCACTAAGTATCGAACCACAAACCTCTACTTTATTGACTAAGCAAATAAGAGACAATTAACCAATTAAGCTGCATCACATTGATGACCATCTTGCATAATTTCGCTTTCTTATTAAGTGAAGGGTTAAAATGAACGATAAATATATCACAGGGGATTGTTTCAACTTCGGCGGGGACTGAGAGAGTGGAAAAGGGGTAATTATTCTACCAAAAAAGAAAAGAAAAGGGGGAATTAATGAAGAGTTAAATTGGACGGATTGTCTTTACCACGCCACTACAAAATCATTCGGAGCAAAAACACGCAGGTTCAAATCAAACAATAAATGATCAGCATTTATAAGCAGATATAAAGAATTATGTCTAAGTACTGATAAATGTGTCACGCTACAATAATTATGTCTAAGTTTTTTAGTAATAAGGCATGATCAGCATTTATAAGCAGATATAAAAAAATATAAAATCGAGAAAAAATAAGACAACACCTACCCTCACCCTTTAACCAATCGATACCATATGCTCTAAACCATCAACCCTTATAACCTACCCATATACCATATACTCTATACCATCAACAACCTAATACCCTAAGCAGTCAGTACCCATTTCCTTTAACATCAACACCTTATACAACAATCATATACCTATACGCTGATAAAATTTTACATTTTGAAAATACTTGCCCAACTAAAGTACATAGGTACTTCAAAAGTGAAATTCTAACTTTCGTTTCAAAACATAAATTAAAAAAATATCCTC